TGCTGCTCATATTCACTGTCACACAAGACAGTGAGGTGCTGCTTATATTCACTGCCACACAAGACAGTGAAGATGCTGCTCATTTTCACTGCCACACAGGACAGTGAGTATGCTTCTCATTTTCACTGCCACACAAGAGTGTGAGAATGCTGCTCATTTTCACTGCCACACAAGACAGTGAGAATGCTGCTCATTTTCACTGCCACACAAGACAGTGAGAATGCTGCTCATATTCACTGCCACACAAGACAGTGAGGTGCTACTCATATTCACTGCCACACAAGACAGTGAGGACGCTACTCATATTCACTGCCACAAAAGACAGTGAGGTGCTACTCATATTCACTGCCACACAAGACAGTGAGGACGCTACTCATATTCACTGCCACACAAGACAGTGAGGTGCTACTCATATTCACTGCCACACAAGACAGTGAGGTGCTGCTCATATCCACTGCCACACAGGACATATTCACTGCCACACAAGACAGTGAAGATGCTGCTCATATCCACTGCCACACAGGACATATTCACTGCCACACAGGACATATTCACTGCCACACAAGACAGTGAAGATGCTGCTCATATCCACTGCCACAGAGGACATATTCCCTGCCACACAAGACAGTGAGGTGCTGCTCATATTCACTGCCACACAGGACATATTCACTGCCACACAGGACATATTCACTGCCACACAAGACAGTGAAGATGCTGCTCATATCCACTGCCACACAGGACATATTCACTGCCACACAGGACATATTCACTGCCACACAGGACATATTCACTGCCACACAAGACAGTGAAGATGCTGCTCATATCCACTGCCACACAGGACATATTCACTGCCACACAGGACATATTCACTGCCACACAGGACATATTCACTGCCACACAAGACAGTGAGAATCAAGCATGAGACATAACGTCTAAATTTGCACATTTCACCGATTACATTTTTTAATGCTACATCAGGCCTCATATTTAATATTTATAAGTTACAAAATTTAACATCAGTGTTACGTAATTATAAGGAATCCGTTCAGGTGTTTTATTATTAACACTGCAGGTGTTTTTGTTGACCGTGACACGAGACAACACATGTAGCATACATTACATTATAAATATGTATTATAAGGGCAAGCAGCTTTAGGACAGATTGTTAGGATGTGTTCTATATAAATGTAATTTATATATCATTTTTATATATATACATTATATAAATGTAATTTATATATGTTCTTATACAGTATGATGACCAGACCACACACTAGAAGGTGAAGGGACGACGACGTTTCGGTCCGTCCTGGACCATTCTCAAGTCGATTGTGACTTGACTTGAGAATGATCAATCGACTTGAGAATGGTCCAGGACGGACCGAAACGTCGTCGTCTCTTCAATTTCTAGTGTGTGGTCTGGTCATCATACTTCAGCCACGTTATTGTGACTCATCGCCTGCATATTATTATACAGTATTCAAAATAAAGTTGATGAATGCGTCTTTGTGATGGGTCGTAGTTACATTAGAAAGCTCTGAAGATGTTTTAGGGGGTCGGCCATGGATTGGACGATCATAGTCTGATATCCAGAGAAATCTGGACATTACTCTGGAGTATTTGTCGTCCAGATACTGGACGTCAGAGCCTGAGTGCATGGAGGGAAAATTGAGTGAAACCAAGGTATGGATTCAGTTGAAGCCTCCTCAGGATCCTCGTCAGTGCAGTAGGTTGCTATTCTTTTGACCATGTCGTGGCGTATAGGCATTTAGATCGTGTATTTGGGAACACCCTAGTGCGTAGGTTCGAATCCTTATCGAAGTGCAGTAGGTTGCTATTCTTTTGGCCATGTTGTGGCGTATAGGCATTTAGATCGTGTATTTGGGAACACCCTAGTGCGTAGGTTCGAATCCTTATCACGGGCGGCTGTGGATTTCCTAATCTGATGTGTTGGGGATCGGTCGGTGCTTCGACTAGCAGATTCTGAGGATTAGTTGGTAGGAAAAAGATTGGCGAGTCGAGATTGCCCTACAGGTGTTGGCATGAGGTGATCTAAGACCATCAGAGTGCTTGTGATGACCACTGTGAGCAAGCTGTACTGACCATCTTGTGATCAATAATGTAGTGAAGCGAAGAATCAGCTTTAAGTGTATTCCAGGAAACTAATTGATCACAGAAGGGTTTTATAGGTCATTGGCATATATCTGGGCAGAGTAATTGTATGTTTCAGCAAGTTTCTAATGTTTTGTACTCATTGAAGAAACACGAAAAGTGGAAGCGGTGAATCTGAGGAGCCATGAGTGTGAGTAAGCTGTGAATCTGAGGAGCCATGAGTGTGAGTAAGCTGTGAATCTGTGGAGCCATGAGTGTGAGTAAGCTGTGAATCTGAGGAGCCATGAGTGTGAGTAAGTTGTGAATCTGAGGAGCCATGAGTGTGAGTCACCTGGTAGTCTGTGGAGCCATAAGTATGAGTCATCTGTGAGTCTGTGGAGCCATGAGTGTGAGTAAGCTTTGGATTCTCTCACCTGTTCAAGCAATAACTTACAGCGACATAGTTCAAGGAATACCTTACTGCAGTAAGCTATTGGCAGCAGCTGTGTAATCCCACAACATTCCAAGTGTTGTGGTGGTAGACGGATTTCTCCTTTCAATGATAGAGGATTTGTGGGATTTAAAGTTGACGCGTTTTCAGTTGCTGATTCAGGTTGGATAGGATAATAATACGGAGTGTGTGTGTGTGTGTGTGTGTGTGTGTGTGTGTGTGTGTGTGTGTGTGTGTGTGTGTGTGTGTGTGTGTGTGTACTCACCTAGTTGTGTTTGCGGGGGTTGAGCTCTGGCTCTTTGGTCCCGCCTCTCAACCGTCAATCAACTGATGTACAGATTCCTGAGCCTACTGGGCTCTGTCATATCTACATTTGTGTGTGTGTGTGTGTGTGTGTGTGTGTGTGTGTGTGTGTGTGTGTGTGTGTGTGTGTGTGTGTGTGTGTGTGTGTGTGGGTGTTATTCCCACACAAAGACATTCCGAGGAAGGGATTTAACATGGGATTTATGGCCAGGGGGATGTATGAAAATTTATTACAGGTGAAGTGTGCCTGGAATTCTCATGTTTTAAGCTGGAGATTACTCATGTTTACTCATCGCGTGAGATGAGTTCCTCACAGTCATCTACTGAGCTCCCCTCATAAGAGTTGGTGGCACAAGGTGTAGAGTGTATCTCTAGGATGAACTCATATACCCATTGTACTCTCCTTATTGGTTAATTAATGTAAATAATGTTCCAAAGTGTTATATGACTTTATATAGTGTGTACACTATATATATATATATATATATATATATATATATATATATATATATATATATATATATATATATATATATATATATATATATATATATGACAGTGTCAGACCATGGAGGAACAATTGAAACAGGAATTTCCTTAAGTACTTTCGTATTTCATAATACAGCTTCAGAAGGGTGAAGATGTATTATTATAAATAATACATCTTCAGAAGACCCTTTTGAAGATGTATTATAAAATACGAAAGTTAGGTAGAATACGCCAGTCTAGGATTGCCTTAAATCGCCTCTAAGACCGAACATGTCAACCATTTGAGAAAAAAATCATCAGGTACAGTTTAAAATATTCATAGATGCATCTTAAAAAATTAATAGAAATAAAAAAGTGTTGCATTTGCCTCACAAAAACAGTATTGCAACGTGCAACAGGAAGAACAGTACTTGCAAAAATATATCTTGCAAAACAATATTTATATATCTTGAGGTTATCTTGCGATGATTTCGGGGCTTTAGTGTCCCCGCGGCCCGGTCCTCGACCAGGTCTCCACCCCCAGGAAGCAGCCCGTGACAGCTGACTAACTGCCAGGTACCTATTTACTGCTAGGTAACAGGGGCATTCAGGGTGAAAGAAACTTTGCCCATTTGTTTCTGCCTCGTGCGGGAATCGAACCCGCGCCACAGAATTACGAGTCCTGCGCGCTATCCACCAGGCTACGAGGCCCCCTCGTAGGGCAATGGTCATGAATTGCATATAAATAGTGATTAAAATATAGTGATAAATATATAACTATATAGTTTACTTATTATTTACTTAATATTACTTTTACTAATTTACTTACTAATACTTATTTTACTTAATATTAAGTTTACCTAATAAGTAAATAGTGATAAAAGATTAAAATATATCTGAATAGGCTTATAGTCATTCTTAACCATTATCCCTGGAAACACAAACCGAAACTGTCTCTATTTTCCGCTTGTTACAACTTGTAATAAAGTTGTTACATCTTGGCTTAACGTGTTTATGACGTATTAGAACGTTGTTACAACTTGCTATATTGGTTGTCATAACTGGTTAGGAGGTGTTAAAACTTGTTCGAACGTTGTACCAACGTCGTAGTTTCGGTGTGTTTTTGGCGGGATGCGTCTTAAGAATTGTCAAGAACATTACACATTCAGCCAAACAGTGGTTCAATACATCATTTTAAGATCTTCATACGGATGGCACCAGCATTTGGTCGGGCATGAACGAGCTAAGCCACATCAAAACCGATATAATTCAACAAACAAACGCAGAAACATGTAGCAGAGAGCATTAATTTGCATGTTTATCCATGTGGTAATATGATGAATGAATGTTGCAATTGGCACCTCACGTGTCAAGGAAGTTGCAAAGACTGAGGATTATATATATATATTTAAGAGATCACTGGAGAAAAAAATAAAAGGTTTAGTACCGGTAATCTCCCCCCCTGGAAACACAAACCGAAACTGTCTCTATTTTCCGCTTGTTACAACTTGAAATAAAGTTGTTACATCTTGGCTTAACGTGTTTATGACGTATTAGAACGTTGTTACAACTTGCTATATTGGTTGTTATAACTGGGTAGGTGGTGTTAAAACTTGCTCGAACGTTGTACCAACGTTGTAGTTTCGGTGTGTGTTTGGTGGGGGCCTGGAGGGGTTACAGTTCGTACCTTTTTACACTTGACGAGGGCAATGATGGTGATCAGGTTACCGGGGACACCCAGAACGATGAACAGAACGCAGCAGAACACCGCGAAGTCTAAGAGATGTGGAGGATAGTCTGCGAAGAGCGGCTCCCTGCCATGGGTGACGTTCGCCAAGTTAGCTGAGACGCTGGGATGATGGTAACTCAGATTATGCGTCAGGGCCGATAGATAGGGCCAATCAGAGCCCCCCATCAGTCTCTGAAGTCCCTGGTCCTGCGGAGAACCTAGCGTCTCTTCTCCTGCTTCTAGCGTAAACGATAGAGCCTCTTTAATCATGGACGAAGAATTTTTCGAGGCAGTTGACTCGTCCTGATCTATTGTGGGTGATGCAGAGCCCATCAGGACGCCGATGATGTGGCTACGAGCTCCGTCCCCATCAGAGCTGGTCGCGTTATCCATCGCGTCTTCGCTTAACAAACTACTAAGGTCTTTACTCGAAGTAAAGTTGTAGGCACTCACGGATTGGTTGCTGGACCCTTCCCTCTCACCACTATGTGTGGCATCTTCACTTCTATTGACACTACGCAAGTCACTGAAATAGCCAGCGGTGGCTTCCCTGTACACCAATCCTAGCATTCTATGCACACTATTCTCTGTCAGATTCTTGACCCCTTTTCCCTGATCTGCTTCAGGATAGAGTAGAGAATAGGGCCCGGTTTCGGCCACAGTTGCGCCTCCACCCTCACCTCCACCAGATATCTGGCGAACATCGTCTCTGGATATCGCGGGTTCCGAAGCCTGGGTGACCTGATGGGGCTCTAGTGAGAGCCACGCGTGTAGCGCCGCCTCTGCAGCAGATGGAGAAGGCTCTCCAGCAGTCATCATCAACTACAGAGTCTGAGTTCGATAAGGCAGCTCGAGCGCCATCTTGTAGGAAGCGTTGCGCCTCACCAAGTCTCCTCTATCATGCCTCTACAGCCTCTTCAACTCTCTTCGTAGCTCTCTTCGGAAGCCGTCAACTCCGTCAGACATTCTGGCTGTAATAAAGGAGAAAATGACAATTTTATATATATATCCACAAGATAACTATAGGAATATAATATATAAATATAAAAAGAATATATGTATATGTATATATATATATATATATACAAAGTCAGAATGCCATCTAGTTTTCTAATTGGAAAACTAAAAATAGTTATGAATTAGATATTATCAATCTGTTTAAATTAGTTTTTTTTTAAATTCGTTGTAGATACCATTGGGTAGTTTGGACATGGTCTTTACCAAGGCAATTTGGTCACCAATCACTGGCTCTCTGAAACAATGGAAATTCCTGGCATCTGGGAAGACTTCATAAGTTGAAAGATTACATTTTGTGCATTGAAATGGGGAGATAAGTACTTTGATGGTGAGAATTTCTGTGGCAGGAGGAATTGAGAGGATAACCAGGTATAACCCCCCAGTTCAACGCCGAAACAACGCCTTCGACGGTGATTCAACGTCACGTTTAGTTACTGTGATCTCTGATATCAGGCAGTTTGAATGAAGAGGAAGGGATATCGAGCCCGGATACCGGAATGTGGTGTGTAAGAGTTCCAGGATAATGGACTTGGATCGGATTAAAACAGGATTTTTATGGAATGGTTGTTCAGGCCATCTGTATTGAACCCCTACCCCCATTTCACCCCCCCCCCCCACACACACACACATATGCACTTCTCAGACGCACACAAGCATATTGCTATGCAGACACATGTGTACCATTTATATAGTTACGCATGCACGCAAACCCAGTGAAACACACATATATACTTAATCACAGTATTACATATACGCACATAGTTACCTGAATCATTTAGAATGAGGTTGGATACATGTAATAAATACATATGCATAAACTCAGCGATACAATTACACATACCAAAATAACATAGTTGCTCAAAGACAATGTTAATTAAGCTTTTATTAACTTCATGCTTACATAACCCTCCCGCCAGTGTTGTGCAGAACTGGGTGGAAAATGTTGAAAATAATATACCGGTATATTTTTAGGGAAGTATGTTAGTAATTAACTAGACCGGAAATGTTATAATTTTAATTTTTTTGCGGCTGGGATGTCCTGCTGCTAAGAATCCATAAATATATAATTTATAAAGAAATGTTTATTTTCTGTCGATTATTTTTTCGTCTGATAGTTATTCCCATAATTTTTTTTCATTTTGATAGAATACATTTTAAGCCAATGGATTTTTTTGTCCTTTCTGATGTAATTTTTTTTCATTTTGATAGAATTAATTTTAAGCCAATGGATTTTTTTGTCCTTTCTGATGTAATTTTTTTTCATTTTGATAGAATACATTTTAAGCCAATGGATTTTTTTGTCCTTTCTGATGTAATTTTTTTTCATTCCAATGGTCTGGGATACTGGATTTACAAAGTTTACAAAGGTGGGATGGACAAATTGTGACCACTCCCCCGTCCCCTGAAAATAGTCAGTGAAATGTGGTTGGCCGAGTCCCTAGAGTTCTTCATTCGAAAATGATTTACGTGAATTCAATATTTCACTCAAAGAGAGGGTTGGGGGGAGGGAATTGTGGGGGATATGGATGGAAGAAGAGGGAGGATGTTGGATAATAGGAAGGAGAGAGAGGGAAGGAAGGGGGGTGAAGGGAGGGTATAGGATGAAGGGAGAATTGGGAGAGAGAGAGAGAGAGAGAGAGACCCGGGCACCGCCGGATACTCCTCTCTTCTAGTTAGCCATGTAAATATGTACACTGATATTAACCATATATTTAAGCATATAAACATATTTAATGTATGTATATGTTCAAAATATTATGAAATATATATATCTTCAAGATGTTCAACCATTGACTTACTCTAACACTGGACAAAAAAACATAGAAAGGGAGAGTGAGTGAGTGAGTGAGTGGTGAGTGGGTGAGTGAGTGAGTGAGTGAGTGAGTGAGTGAGTGAGTGGGTGAGTGAGTGAGTGTGTCGTGACTTTCATCCATCGACGGTGTGTATTCAATTGAAAAAATATGTAATCTCTTCATATGCATATTACCACTATTTATTTACAAAGGAACATTAAAGGCATTAGGGACCATAAAGTCACAGGTATTAACGTCCCTTATTAGGGCCATTAAACTGTGGCCTAACCTAACTGTTCTTGCCTAACGGTGCTTAGCTAACAATTACGACGGTAGAGTGAGATTTAGATCCTTATACCTCGCCTAATTGCGATATTTTACCTCCCTCCTTGTACGTTATATATATATATATATATATATATATATATATATATATATATATATATATATATATATATATATATATATATTTATCTTTATTGACCTCCCTGTTCCTTGAAGTACCTTGTTGAAATATTTCCTTGCATTTATTAGACTCATTTGTATGTCTAGTTTGACCGATTTTCTCCTAATATATGAAAGGTATCTATGTCCACTTTGCCTAGTCCCTTACGTATGTTGCATGTCGTGATCAAGTCCTCTCGATGCCTTCTCTTCGCTAGGGGTGTGAGTTTGAGTTCTCTTAAAGCAGTTCTTTTAAACTTCTCTACGTTATAGTTATGGAATAGTGTTTTATGCTCAGAATACTGACGTGTTCGTTCTTCGTTTGGATTTACGAACGAAACTAACTCCAAACGTTTGCATTTCTTCAATTGCTTGCCGTTCCTTCTCCAGCTTCCCACGAATGAGTCGGTATTGAATGATTTTATGGGAATGGGCCATTTGCATCTATACGTGTCAAGGTTCTCAGTTCTAACAATGGTCCAGATTATCCAAATTGCTTCCTCAGGAGACGAGGGAGTGTCTCCAGATCATCCCCACCACTAAGCTTGTCTGTACACACACACACACACCTTTAAGCTGGCTCGAGACACACCTCACATGACGGTCTCATGCCTCCAGGTCTCTGTGGTTTGATTGCGGGTCGTCAAGACGTCTCGTTGGGTCGTCACCTTTAATAGGGTGTGAGGAGATACACGTTCAGCATCCCTCAGAGAGCAGACTTATCTCCATTTCATCTTGAGTACAGGAATTCGGCTGCTTCCTGTATCTTAATTTATTCATTGCCTTTGTGAAAAAATTTTGTATTGTGTTTCTGTGTTCAGTTGATGAAATATAGTTGATTTTTGTTAATATTAATATGGCCTGTACTACATTTCATGGAAACTAATGGTTGATGCTGAAATCTCTGTGACGTGTAAGGGGGGGAAGGTAGGGGTGTGTAGGGGAGTGTGGTCGTTGTAGGGGTGGTAGTTTAGGAGGGGAGGGAAGTGAGGGGGGGGGGGTAGTAGTAACAAACAGGCTTATATATTCCTGCAGTAATCGGTTTGCATCATATAATTCGCTGTAGAGGACTGGTACCGGCTATGGTGGGTATGACTTAAGTTTCCGATCCACGTTTCCCATCTGGCTAGTTTGTCTACAATATAATTGTTATATATCATTACAGTGCCATGGTTATATATATTAAAAAAAATAATATTACATTCTGTGTCAAAATAGGCCTAGATAGTTATTTTTTAGTGTTTTAGCTTCGTTTGCAAGTTTTTTTTAAGTTATATGATAAATGTGAAGCATTTTGAGCATGTGGGTTTTGAGCATGTGGAGTGGAGCACCTAAAGTAATATGGGGAAATGGAGCACTTAGAGTAATATTGGGGGGTAGTGGAGCACTTCCTGGATTATGGGGGAGTGGAGCACATCCAGTAATATGAGGAAGTGGAGCACTTAGAGTAATATTGGGGGGTAATTGGAGCACTTCCTGGATTATGGGGAAGTGGAGCACTTAGAGTAATATTGGGGGGTAATTGGAGCACTTCCTGGATTATGGGGGAGTGGAGCACATCCAGTAATATGTGGAAGTGGAGCACTTTCATTAATATTGGGGAGTAGTGGAGTACTTTCATTAATATTGGGGAGTAGTGGAGTACTTCCTGTAATATGGGGTAAGGGAGCACTTCCAGGAATGTGGAGGCGTGGAACAATTCCCGAGAAACACTTCCAACGTTATCAACCGCGAGATATGTGTCAAATACAATTAGTTCATAATAACTGGAACAAACTGCTAGATAAAGTGTCTTTACCCACAGTCATGAGGCATAGTGAGGAACAGACAAGGTGGATAATTGCAAATGATACTGTGTCACCTCCCTCTAACTTCGTTTATAGATGATAAAAAGCCCAATAATCCCATATTTACTCTTCAATTAACATTATCAATTAATAATACATATTTGCAATGAAAGTCAAGATTTGATAAAGGGTTCAGAACATGTCCAAAAAATGCGTCAGTTCAGATTCGTTACGTCTTAATCAGCGAGTAGTAGAAGTTATTGATATCTTTCCTCAAACTAGGAGACGGGGATGCGAGGCATCAAGAGGGCAGCTTGAAGTAGTTCTGCATCAGAATGGTGGTTGCAACGTCTGTATCATTTAAGGGGTTATATTACACGACGGTCATATACTTAATGGGGTCTACAGGGCCGGAGCGGAAGCCACATCTACACAGAATTAATGTCTTGGCAGTATTCTGTGTCTCCCATTCTGTGTGTGGGGTTGTTGTGGTGATTACTGGTGGATTTTACCTATCAGTGCTTATGAGGAAGTAAGGTTTAGCTCTTTATGTATCGTCTTCTGATTTGTTATACCTGTTGAATGTTAAATTGATCTTCTAGACGTTCGAATTCTTTGTCGAATCTAGCATTAAGGTCTAGGGAGCCGGTCGGCCGAGCAGACAGCACGCTGGACTTGTGATCCTGTGGTCCTGGGTTCGATCCCGGGCGCCGGCGAGAAACAATGGGCAGAGTTTCTCTCACCCAATGCCCCTGTTACCTAGCAGTAAAATAGGTACCTGGGTGTTAGACAGCTGTCACGGGCTGCTTCCTGGGGGTGGAGGCCTGGTCGAGGACCGGGCCGCGGGGACACTAAAGCCCCGAAATCATCTCAACATAACCTCAAGATAACTGGAAGGTTGTGGAAGGAGGTGGTGTCCAGAGCTTCTTCTTTGGCTGTCTTCCCTTTGTCGAGCACCTGTGAAGGGGTTC